CTTGGCTCTCGCCGGGCTATCCATCCTTTCCGCATTTTCATAAATAGCAGGATGCTTTTTTTTTTTAAAAAAAAAAAACCCAAAACCTGTATCCGATCAAATGCGTTTCTCATTAGGTTTGCAGGGCAAACGAAACACCTCCTTGAGCCCGTTTGCTGCTTGTGGGTTTACAGAGCTCTCTGCGGATGTCTGTTAAATCTGTTGACAGTAAAGACTTGGAGCTAACAGGATAAACGTTTTTTTAACCACAGGGTGTAGAAATGGCAATGCAAAAAGAAAACAAAACCGTAAAATTGTATAAAATGTTATACAAAAATATAAAAATTATATAAAAAAGTAAATAAAGTTACACCAAGTAAAAAAAAAAAGTGTTCTTAAGACTGAAAAACTTCATTTTTTTTCAGGCAAAGCAGGGTGTGTTGTCTTGGGATATTGCCATGCCTTGGATGAGTTGTTAGCAGAAGGCTAAATGCCTTGGTGATTTCCTGGCGAGACATTTCTTGGCTGTTGTATTTGAGCTTAAACCAATTCTTCTCTTTTTCAGTGTGCAGCTGTTCTATGTCTTTGACTAGGAGAGTAAAAATAGCACTCAGCATTCATAAAATACTTTTCTCCCCAGAACCCCCCACATATTTGTAGCACAGCTTGTGAAGTAGGTGTTACTATTACCATTTTACAGTCAAGACCACTGATGCTCAGGTTGCCAAATGTGCTTAATATTTATAATATCCCAGTTACCACAGTTGAGATGATGACCCTAAGATGGAAGTCTTTCACCCCTGGTTCAGAATACCAGCCCCAAAGTCACCACTTCTTTGCCCAATCTGAACTCTTCTGGGTTGCAGGTAGAAGACCGGTTGTCACTTTACTACCATGTGCTTTTTAACCCACATACACTTTTAAAATCCCAGTTTGCCTGATAAAATGCAGTGTTTCATTTAGGATGCAGTAGAAGGTTTTATCAGTATGGAGAACTGAGTCACCCAAATAGGACTGAAGCAGAGCTGGGAAACAACTTGCAGAATTTGAGCCCATGTCATACCTGGGAAGATTCAAGTTCTTGGTCAACTCATGCTGGCAGAATTTGAGCTTCTTTAGAGTTATTGCAAATTTTGATCTTATCCAGCGCAACTTGCAGCTTTACCTTAGATACCTTCTGAAATTCAGAATTAAGAACAGTCTTTATATATTTTCCTGTCTTTCCCTTTTTTACCTTTTCCTTTTTCTTACTTCTTCATAGCCCTCCTTTAGGGTTATTAGATAATTCGCCCTGGTAAGTAACGTCACATCTTTCAGACTGTGGGATGAGAAGATGACTAGCTGAGGACCGTGTATTTCAGAACTGTGTGATTACTCTAGGACAGCAAGCAGCCTGATCTCAAGTGGTTGCAAAATGGAAGGTCCCACTCTGGCAGCTGGTTTGAAAGAAGTTTCATAAATTTTACTGTGGGCTGGAGACTGATATTCCAGTCAAGGGTAAAGATCAGCTCTTAAATCTTTGTGAGATAGATTCTGAATTTATTGCAGATCTTATTTAAAGGCTGGAGCATAGCTATGCTGCTGCAGAAACACATTTTTCTTTCCTTCTTGTTCCAGGGGGGATTAATCTGCTAATGCCCTTTAGCTTTCCTCCAAGCTTCAGTTTAACTATGTAGGCGACTGCACGCGAGAAGGAGTTCAGCCAAGGTTCTGACCATTTCAACTATTCCTTCCTGAAATTTGTCTACTCTTCCTATTTCTGTGCATAGGAAGAGGAATAAAAACTGTTCATTCCCCCTTAATGTCACATATGGATAGCTATGAAAATCTTTTCAACCCTCTTACCTCCCTGAGACTGTACTATGGGTCACAACCTGCATCGTTTTCAGAGAGCACCAACTGATGCAGTAGTTAAATTCTAGTAACTCTTATCTTGGAAAACGATAATGTGCCATGCAGTATTTTGGAACGAATTAAAAGTTTTATTTTAAGAGATATTGAAGAACCAAAGTTGTTAAAAATTTCACAGGCAGTTGAATGTGCTCCTTTCAGGAAGAGTCCAGGTACAGGTTCTTAGTGCCCTTTAGCTATTAATTTTGAAAGAAAACATTGGATTAAAAAAATGGATTAAAATCTGGATTTAAAGCTGTATTAACTCCGCTCTCCCAACTGCTTCCAAATCTTCTTGTAGCAAAAGCTATTTCCAGTGTATGCCAACTTCAGACAGGGATGGAGATGAACCACAGTTTTGAGACAAATTTGGAACATTGGCTGTACCAGTGTAAGGTGATGTTGAACAGTGTATTCTGATGATCCTTTAGACAGTCTATCTCCCAGGGGGACGTTAGAAGCTGAGGTTTCATTTATTCAGCCAGATCACAAACAATTTAACTTCTCTAATGTGCATGAGGAGTTTAAAATCTGTTGGACCTTTATGAACTTTCCAACTAAACTTTCCAAATAATTTGCTTTTCGGTTAAAATGTCAGATCCAGTTTTTAAGATACAAAAATAGTGGATCTGAGTGAATGAAAACTGTAAGTGCCTGCTATATAGCTTTAATTAAGTTTCTGTGGACTACATTTAATCTTCTTTTTCAGGACATTCTCTTGTACTTTGACATTTTTCAGGGGTAAAAATCATTGTATTTGAGTGGTTGTCCCACTCTCAAGACTTCTGTTTCTAAGGATGGGCTACCAGTGAGACCAAGAGACTGCTGTTGTCCTCCTGGTAAACAATTTTCAATGTAACACAAAGGATTATTTTAAAGTAATATTTTTCAGTTTTCTATTTAGAATTTGCTTTTAGGACATATTCTAAAATTGCCTCCACAGCCAGTTCTAGTGCGCTACCACCACACCAATGTAAATACCTTCATTTTCATGATAAAAACCTTTGTAAAAAGATTAAAACATCAATTAATATTTGTTTTTCTTTCAAGTAGCCCAGACTACTCAATACCAAATATATACCAATGCTCAAAAATAGCATATAAGAGAATCTGTCACCGTTTTATCACAATGAAGATATATATGTTTGATGTGTCACGTAAAGTTGATAAGCAGTAATTGCTCTTAGGATACAAGCAGTAGTATATAAACTCTACTGTGCAATTGAAATGTGGTTTATTAAATTCAGGCATTAAAGGAGTGATGTGTTGGCTGCTCTTTGTGCTGTAGACATTCCCAAATAGTTAGCTCAGGACCTCATAGCGTACAATCCTTTCCACGGAAATTTGAAACCCGTCAAAACGTTTGCATTTCTTCAGTAAAAGATGAACTGCTTTAGGGTAACTTCTCTGATTTGTCTTAATATTTTTTTGTTCAGTTTAGGAGAGACTGTCATAAGTAACGTCAAGCCTTGTTCATCTAAGGTAAGATTTTCAATTACTTTGCTTAGATAAGATAATGAATGTAACAATGACTTCTCAGAAAAGTGACAGATGTTTTTGAAATGTAGATTGCTTTATTCAGGATAGATACAAAAAATACAGAAGAATCAGGTATTTTCAGATAGAGAAAAGAAACTACATTGAAATTGTGGGAATTCAGTATATAAGAACATTTTTGTCATAATGTCCTTCATCACAGCTCAGTTGTCAGGCCAAATTTTTAATCTCATCTGCATGACTGTAAATGCAGAGTAACTATTGTTTTTGGCAGAGTCACAGTTTTTGCTTGAATTGCTGAGGTCAGATTTAATTGCCTGTTTTCATGTTGGCTTTTGTTAAAAATAAATATTGATTAAAAATATTTGCTTGACAGTATTTAATTGGACATCTGGTGAGTAGCTGTGATAAAGCCCTGGAACAAACCATAGCTTCAAGTGACCTGTTTATAAGTTTCCAGTGATCTATTTATAACTCTTACAGAATTTTTCTTTATTTTGTGCTTATTTCAAAATTAAAGAAACGTGTTCTTTTAGTTCTCTAGCATTTATCTCCAGACACAAAATGCAATTACATTAATAATTCAGAAACCCTTTTTTTTGGTAAAATCTCCTTGTTAACAGTTTTATGTAATTTTTACTTTCACTTTTTAAAAGCAGTAATCAGGAAAAAAAATGTTCAGTGCTTTTCCTGTGTAGTGCCAATACCAGAAAGAGAAACCTGAAGCAGGAAAGGAGAAAATTATGTGGAAGATATATTCAAGTCTAAATAAGTTTTCTTTTTCATTAAAATCTTTACATTTCTAAGGGTCCTATTTACATTTGAAAATACAGTATATGAACATACTACAATGCTTTGCTGAGATTATGGAATTAAAAAAGACTGAAATGAAAATATGTTTCTTAGTCTTTTTACAATGACAGATATTTCAGGAATTACTTTTAGCATTTCTTTAAGTGATGAGTCAGAGGCATTCCCTTATTTTATGTCAAATGGCACCATGGAAGAAAAAATACTAAATATGAAATTATTATTTTAAAGAACATTAAAAGGTGTAACTACTTTTACCAATGCTTTTATTGTTACTATTTCAGATAACTGTATACCTGTGAATAGTATCCCTTTATTCTTTCCTCTGTAAGAGCATTTAAAATATTTTTTCATTGTTGGGTTTGTCTGCAGATCTGCTTGGGACTGCTTGTGTGCATAGATTAATAATTTGTGCAAGTATTTCCATGATCGGAGTCTAATTAATTGATTTAGGGACTTTCAAGAGTGAAAGTGTTTTGCTAATATGTAGTAAATCCAAAAGCCTGCTCCTTTCCAGTGAAAATAACTTTGTTAGCATTTGAGTTGTCTGTCGTATGTGCTGATTCCTAAAATGTGAGCTTCTTAAATGCAAGATTTGCAAGTTCTTGCCTCCAGTTCACAGTGCTCACAGGTAGAATACTTTGCCAGAAATGTTGGTGATATTCTTTAAATTTATAGAGGTTATTCTTTACCTCTGACACTCTCTTGTGAGGTATGGCTAAACAGAAGACACCTAACAGACCTTGGTCTCAGCTCTGTCACTTATTGCTTGATAAAGCTTTAAAAAAACAGGTTTTGAAGGTTGATCCATGGAGTAATTGACTTCATTTTGGCAGCCTGAGCTATGTTATGTATGCTTTATGATCAATTTATTTCCCCCTCCATTGTCTGGTACAACAGGGCACAAGGAATGTTGGAGCTGTGGAGGAACCACTCAAGGCAGAAGAGAAAAATAAATCTGCAGATATTTCAAAACAAAAAGAACAATGCCTTGTACCATGTGATGTTCAAGCTAAAATTTTACGAGGGGAAAAACATTACATGTGCAGTATGTATTCATAAAGAATACTCTCAGCGACAAGCTGTGCAATGCCATGCTATGCAATCCTCTGCTATGCTACCCTATGCTGTGCTAATTTATTTTTTAATCTTCTTGAGCACGTGACAGCCTTTGTCCCTGCTGCCCAGGCTGAGTATTGTTCAGAAAATTTGGGGTGCTGTGTTTTTGGGGTGCAGCTGGTGTGACAAAGTTAGAGTATAATCATGCTAGTCTCTCTTCATAATCACTGGTGAGGACAGGCAAATCCAGGCAGCAGCTCGGCCCACCTAAGTCTCTGTTACCCTCTCAATGTCGGTAGCTCTCTCCATCAGAGAGGAAGAGTAGGGTGCCTTGTCCCTCATTTAAACATCATAGTTAGGTGTGTGGGAGTTAGTTAAGTGGGAGTTAGTTAAGTGGGAGGAAATCTACGCTTCAGCTTGCCTTTTAGAGCTATCTGAACAGGACGTTCTCTATTCACTGCCTTGACAAACTACACAGCAAATGATGTAATCAGCCTCAGAAAAATTTGTCAACGTTCTTGTTTCCTATATGATTTTTAATATGTATTATTAATTACCTGACAAGTTTAATTTTTGTATTTTTGGCATTTTTTCCTATATTTAGGCAAAAAAGAGGAGCATGAGTAAGTAGCAGAGTGAATGAGTAAATGTAGGATGACAGGAAACATTATGTATTTGTCTTTTATCATTTGCATTTGTATTTCTGTGGTATCTGTTAACTGGTTATCCAAGTTGCCCAAGGATAAGATTAAATTTTTCAAATCTTACGAAGCCATCTTGTCTTAAGATGTCTTCACTGCAACCAGTGAGGCTGAGGTTCTTAGCATCTTTGGATTTAATCTGTGGTCTCTGTACTACTTTAATTTCACTTTTAGGTACCCTAAGGTTAAACACCTTCAATATTCACTTAGATATCATAAATAAATGTGTCATTATTCAGTCAAGAATATTTCTAGCTTTATGATAACAAAGTAGATGAACATATTTCTTTTAAAGGAAATTTGCAGAACTCTCTTGTTGAATATGCAAGAAGTACAAAAAAACTGGTAAGAAACATGATGGATGATCAACAGTCTTCTTTGGATTACCTTTCTAATCAGGTACTTTTTTATTCATCATACAGACTTTTATTATTTAGTGCTACGGGTATTGTCTAACTGAGGAAAATTAAGCATTTATATTGTCATTAAAACCATTGCATTACAGTCTCTATCACTATTCCTTGTACCTCGGGTAAGGTGTGAGTTCCATTTCTACGAGGAGTGATTAGCACTACCTGGTCCGTAACTCAGTGGCATACATGGCAGTAGGGCAAGTGACGGACCACTCCTCCATGTTGGTTCCTAACTGCAGTCCTGTCATATTTGTGTAGACTACATATTATATTATCATTAACTCTGATAGTAGTTTACAAACACTGTGCACTCATTCAGTACAGATAAAAAACCTTAATCAAAATGAAGGACTTTTCTTGAATTCAGTGGAATTGTGCCAAATGATTTTGGATGCAGAAAGTAAAAAAATCAGACCAATTCACAAAATGAAGGTATGAATCACTAGCACATCACAAAAATTAACTTCAGATTTTGACCAGGAGTCAAAAAGAACAACTTCAGAATGTAAAATTCCTCATTGCAACCTATTTAAAGATCTATTATTTGAATTTGCAGGTAAATGAACTCATGAACAGACTTCTTCTTTTGAACGCAGAAGTTCTGAGAAAGCATTTGGATCCACTTCCTTACAAAGCAGTTCAATCTCATGGTAAGTATTTTTCACATTTAGTCTTGACCTCTTCCCTTTTTATCTTTGTATCTTGACAAAAAACTGATTAAAGCAAAGGTAAGAAATTATAATATTTACAGTATTTATTCTGTGTTAGCATGCACATATAAACTCTGGAAAATTTGTGAACTGTTTAAGAATGTCATAAATACTGCTTTAAATCATTTGCAACTGATAATTCTGGGCATCCTGTTCATAAGCGGTCTGATGTTGCTAAATGGCACTTTCTTTTGTAATGAAATAAACTGTGCTCAGCATTTGCAATATCCTTCTTCAAATAAGATGGAAGTCACTTGAACATTGGACAGTTAAACCTATTTTGTAGTGTCCATCCCAACTAAAGGAAACTACCTCTAAGCAGTCCTACTGGCCGTAGAAACTGCTTGCTTGAGCCTGTTTAACACAAACCTGGCTTAAGACTTAGAAGCAAAGGGTTTTTAATGTATACAATATGATAGAAATGCTTTTACAAGTATACATACAAATATTTGCAGGAAGAAGACATGCTTCCCCAGATAATATGTCTTTTTACTCAGTACAAGTGTTACCCAAATAAAATCTGTAAAATAAGACCCAGATACATAATTTTTAATTTCTGTATCATACCAGTTAAGATTAGAAAGAACTTTCTCTATACAATATAATTTACGCTTCTTTCTGAGCTTAATGGAGTTCAGAGAATTTTCATTTATAATCATGACAAAACATGATTTTAAAATTTGCATGACAAGAAAATGCTATTTGAGATCATTCATATGTCACCAAGAAAAGTAATATTCTGTGCTTAAGCTGTATTTGTTTTTTTAACATATTTTTCTAACGAACTTCATCAAATACTTTGTTCTCTAGGGTTGGATTGCACTGATATTAAAGATACCATTGGTTCAGTTTCAAAAACCCCAACTGGTCTGTACATTATCCATCCAGAAGGATCAAATTATCTTTTTGAGGTAATAAATTTATCTCTTAGGATAGTCACAATTTGCTTGAGAATATGCACTTAGAATATATTTAATAGATTTAAAATGTTTTCCTTGACAATTTCTCAACAGATGAATAAGAAATGTATTAAATCATCCAGATGTGTCTGCCATTACTATAATTTTGACAAGTTTCTCATTTTCTACAAAGAAATTTAATCTCTGTCATAAGATCCCATCATCAGTTTTCATATACAGTGAAAAATGTACCAAAGACAAAAACCCAGGATATTTTCCAGCACCCCTTTTGGACACTGAGAAGTGCTGTTCTTTTCTATTTTAGAGATGGAAAACTGAGGAGCCAAGTGACTGATCCATTTGGCTCCTAAAATGAGACCTTTGGCTTTTTGAATTATTCTGCTGGATGACTGTATACCATTGCCTTCTCTTGAGAGGTGACTCTGCTGATGCCTATAGCTTGGACCATGATATTGTATAGTCATCAAAATACAGGGGCAGATGTACATTAGTTTGAGGAGCAGGTGCTTAGCTCTTGTCTGAGCATCATTATAACTCAGTCTTGAGGCAGAGAGGCATCTAAACTTTTAGTCTTCATATCCAGTTTGCAGGATATACATTCTTAAGACAAAAAAGGATGAAATTCAGCATGAACTGCAGCAGTCATGCTTCCTATCACCACCTGCATTTTCTGTAATTGCTCGGAGTTAGAGTGCTCATCTAAGAGAAAAGCGTTTTGGATTAACTTCCTCAGGCTCAGGACATTCAGATCCATGCAAACACAAGGAATACTTTGTTTTGTCTGTTTATTTCCATTTCAGGCTGTTCTACTTAGGGAAGTCCTTACGCGTAGTGGAAAGACAGATACAGCACTTTCAAACCTTTAGTTTTGCAGTACATGCTGGGGTCATTAGTTTTTGGAGAAAAAATGTGGCGTTTAAGCCAGCTAATAAACAGCAAAATTTAATATCTAACTTTATAGTCTTCCTCTATATATAACAAAGGAAGGATGAATCCCTTTATCTTTAGCCAGTTGGAACCCTACAAAATGCTACAAAAAAGAGCTCAAACTGCTTATGAAAAGGCTTCGGAAGTATGCTGGGATCTCAAAAGAAAAAATGAACTTGGTTCTGCAGACCCCTGATAGAAAAAAACGTCATTCTCTCTATACAATGCCATGAGCTCAGGGAAAAGATCTGTAACTCATCGGCAAGTTCCTTCCAGGTAAAAGAAAGGCAAAGACAGGTAGAAGTGTTCACAGAACAACCATATTTATAGTATGAAGAAAATGCTCTCTGCCTCACCCCAGGATGAACCATAGCACAAAATGCATCTGTTTCAGAATTTCTTCTGGATTGAGGGGGATTCCATTGAGGAAATATTCGTACCTCACCCAAATTACTTTTCCTGAGAGATGGTGTGACTTATCTATGCGAGAAAAGTGATTTCTCAGTTCACTTGTAGCTTTTGGCAAATAAACCTGAAATGATAAAGTTCTGTTCACTTCAAAAGTATTTTTGACACTTTTCCACATTTAAAGTTACTGCCAGAATCTGAGAATCAGTTATATGAGTGGAAAGGTTCCTTAAGGAGAACAAGAGACAAAAGGAAAAATCATAACAATTTGATTAAAAGCACAAGGTAACAATAAATAATGAGAAGAAACGTCTCCACTCATGAAATGAGTGTCTCATTTCTTGTCTGGTAGATGTTACACAGAACTGAAAAGACAGTGCCAAAAAGTTCTCAGAGAAAAATATCTAAAATATGTGTGTTTCATAAAGAATGTTATTTTAAGGAAAACTGTTTAATGCAAATTCTTCCATGTGTTGAAGCATAAAAAGGGTACAAGAGAAATGATAGACGAACAAAAATGTCAAGACATTAAAACATAAACAAGAAGCTGTAATGCATTTTAAGGGGCTAATAGCCAAGAGTTCTGGAAGTTCTGCAGACTAGCAAAATAAGAAAAATACAAAAAGGCATAAAACCATAGTAAGAAACTAAAAAAACAGAAAACAAAGCCAGCATGAAACAATTTATTTCAATGAGGACCTTCTCAGCAATAAGCTGCCCTTAAAATGTAACTGAAACTAACCCAAAATGTCTTTAGAATCATTTCCGTAAAGATACCAGATAAATGAAGAAAACTATTTAGACAACTTGATCCTGTTCTCAGGTTTTCATGTTTGAAACCTCATGTTTTCAAAAGTGAGTATAGGTTTTGATGCTTAACTCAGGCTAGTTGAAACCTGAATTCCAGGAGCTCTAAGAATATCCAGTTTCAGTGGTAGTGGCAGGTTCTCGTCATCTCAGAAAACTAGTCCCAAATGGGCTTTTGTCTCAGCTTTCAAACATGAGGCAATTTTACTTCTGGAAAACTGAATCATGATCACTTTCTGATACATTTTTCAATAAGTAAATTTAGATCAATGATATTTCTAAGGTGGGTCAGACAAACTAAACAGTTGTTTGGAATATACCTCTTACACACACTAAAGATGGAAAGGGGAGAAATATTCACTAGAAGCATCTTCCTGCTCATTTAATGTAAATTGTACCTGACACAGTCATGCCGCTCGTACCTTGCACAATATGAGACATAGAACAAGCTGTAAAGTGGATTAACTATTATAAGACTTTAAGAAAGAAAAATGCATTATTTCCAGCATATAAGGGATTAGGAAACTACACAGTGATAACTGGGTTTTTTATATCTATCTCATACTTTTACTTAGCTGGTGTATGTTTTAGTGCCATATCTAATTGGCTGATGACCTTTCATGTAGAACCAAATCTGCTCCTGAGAATTAGCCACGCTCTCACTGATTTATATTGGACTGAAGATTGATGTTGTGACCAAGTGGGCTCCTCTTTGTATTTCTGACTCATAGTGAGAGGAGTAGCCAAGCATGCAATCATCTCAAGACGGCGGATGAGGCAATGGCATTATTTTTAATGAGTTTTAGGTATTTGCATCTAAATATTCATTTTGGAATCTTCTGTATTTCTTTTTATTCCAGTTCCACCCTCCTTGGGTGACTGCAATAAGCATGTGATTCTCCAGGCAATAAAGCCCATAATTTGCTTTCATGCACATGACCCTTACTATGATTCATTCAGTATTTGTGTTGTAAGGATTGCTCAAAGGATCCAATGGCATTGACTTACTTGAAGATCCAAGATTCCCCATGTTGTATTAGATCACATTGCAGCTCTGTCCTGTTGCTTTCTTGTTGTTCATAGAGAAGATGTTGTTAAGTCACAGAGGTTCTGAATATGATGTTGATGTGTTCCTGCCAAGGAACAAGTCTTTGGTTTCATGAAAAATATCTGGCTGATACAGGCAATGGGGGTGCAACGTGGAAAGCTCAGACTGCCACAATTTTTTTGAGGGTTAAACTGACTTCCACCTAGACTCTACTTTTAGCAGCTGGCTAAGATTGCAAATCTCTCTTTTCTGAAACTTGTTTCATTGTGTACATTCTCTGTAACGTGAACAAAAAATTCCTACTTTACTCCATCATTTGTACATCTGCTTACTGTTATGATTTACTGATAGCTAACATTATATTCTGAACTTACTTTTGTTATCACAAGTAGCTTAATGACTCCATAGCTATAAGCAATTTCCAGGTTAATTCTCCTGACTTTAGTCACATTGGAAGACACTTACAAATGAGCCTCTGTTTTTAAACACTAATCAAGCATAGTATCCCCTAGAACTACTTTGAACAGCTTAGGTGGTACAGTGTCTAAACGTGCAATATGCACCTTTCTACATTAGGATGCACAGACTTTCTAATCCCTGTTAGAACTGGCAGTGGGGACATACTTGAAAAATACCAGAGTGACCTGGATACATTCCACTTAACTTTAGGCACTTAGCTGAAATCCCTAGAGAGCACCAAGGGTCTAGGGGCCCTTTCTGTAGACAGTGGAGGTGACTGACATCTGCAGAGGGTGATTTAGATCTTGATTTCCCAGAGCCACGCTATGCATGCACATTTCTCTGTATAAGGGGGATTACAGAGGAGACAAGGGCAATAAGATGCCTAATTTAGGGAACTCAATTACATGTCTAAAGTTAAATGGGCTGAAGAGAAAATGTGCCACATAATGTGATATTCCATAGCAAAGCAGAGGGCAGCTGGACCACTGCCATTTGACATGCCGTTGGGCACAAATTTTAGCAAAGAATCATAAAGACTCATAAATTTGAGAGTTGATCTTACGTATTCAGTTGGGACTGCTCAGTTGCAGGCTGTTAAATGTTCACATTGGGACTTCCCTGGATTGGGGCCCCTTCTTATGTAGAGTTTTTTGCGGCTCCAGCATAAATTATTACATACTGGGCTATTGCTATCTCTTTTTCCATTTCCTCACCTTTATTAAGGGCTCTACATTTCCCAGGCTTCACAAACACAGTATTTCTGGGGAAGAAGGTATGATGGTGAGGGAGAACACATAAGAAGTTGTGTCTATCTTGCTTTGCTGAAATAAAGGTATATTCAGTGTTAGTGCCTGTATCTGTAATATTTTGCATGACTAATACATGACATTGCATGTTGCTTCCACTTCATGCTATTATTAATACAGAGTAACATTTATCAAAGCTTATTTATTATATCTGAGCAGACATATAAATGAGCAGACATTTGCACACAACAGTTTCTACTGTTTGAGGAAATATCCAAATCAAGCAGTCCAACAGGAACATATAAGAAAATACTGCAGCTTCATTTTTTATTTTCTTTGAGCTTTTTGTTAAGACATTTGAAAAGTATGTTGCTTAGCAAAACTCTGAATAGTCCACCTTTATTTAATGAAAATGTGTTCTTCATAACAGCTGCTTCAAGAATGCTTAATCATATCGATGTCTATTTTAGGTTTTGTGTGACATGGATTTTCAAGGAGGTGGATGGACTGTGGTTCAGAAAAGATCTGATGGAATCATTCCATTTCAGAGAACATGGTCTGAATATCTGGATGGATTTGGTGACCTTTCTGGTATTAATTTTAAATACTCCAAAGCGCTTTGGACCCAACGTTTCTGCTGTCTTTATGTGAGCTACATTCCACTAAATTGTGTAGGATTTTTAGTAATATAGAGGGTAAAGTTCTTGTTTCTTAAAAGTCTTATTTATACTTGAGGTTTTTTTCATCAAGTCTATTGTGTGATCTTCTCAATAATGACTATCACCCTACTAGAGTCTTTAGCCATTGCGCATCCTGTCTCACAAGAGGTGTTTAAAATGTTGTGATATTTTCTTCCTGAAATAATGTATAAATTCCCCTTTTTTCAGATTAAAAAAAAAAGCCTTAGTTGGTTCTAATCACATTTACAAAATATTTCCTTAAAGCTGAGAAAAATCAGTAATATTTCACCATAGAGCATGTGAAGTTAGAAACAGAATGGAAATATTTCAGTATCTAATACCAACACAACTATGCTACTACTTTTTTACTGCCACCTTTCATTCAGCAAGTCTAAAACCAGCTGCTTTTTCAGGAGTTTATCTGGGATTGCAATGGAAGCACACAACTTTTCAACTATACAAGGGAGCGCAGCTCATATGGGGCAACCTTTCATGGAAAAAAAGTGTGATTTACAGAGGCAGCAAATCTTGAGAATAGGGTTTGAGTTTTGTTGCATTTCATAGAATGCTAACATTTATCATTTCTCAGTATTGCCCTTAGGAACACTACTGAATTCTGTTTAATCAAGTGGATCTTTAGCACATCCAGTTTTTGTGGTCTTCTAAGGTATATTGAAGATGAACGCTTGAAAATTATCGTGGACAATTTTCTAAAAACGTCACAGAGAAAAAAGATGACGCGCACATGGGAATTCTTTCCATGGATTTCCCAATTAAGTCGGAAGATTATACCTTCATTAGTCTTTCAAAGACATCAGACAACTTTTGTTACACTTGGTTCAGGAAGGAAAGTACAAAAACCAGAGGAATCCATTTTTTCTTTTACACTTTCTGTTTCTAGAAGTTTATTGACTATATATTTCTGTTTTAGGGGAATTTTGGCTTGGACTGAGGAAGATTTTTCACATAGTAAATCAAAAAGCCACTAGTTTCAGTCTTTATGTCGATTTGGAATCAGAAAATGACAAGCATGCCTATGCATCATATGATGGATTTTGGATAGAGGATGAAGCATGTTCTTTTAAGATCCATTTGGGGCATTATTCAGGAAACGCTGGTAAGAACCTCCTTCTTTAAAGTACTTAAAGAGACCTGTTCCCTTTCTTAATGTGAAAAAGTGCATTCAAAAGAGTAATAATTAAGATAATTTTAAAAATGTTTATTTCTAACCTGTTTTTCTCTATTTGGTGCATAATGAACACGTATGCAGATAAATGGTTAATGATGTAGTGATTGGTTATGTCAACATCAATCTTTACATAGTAAGAAATCATTTTATTTTATTGCTTCAAGGTCTTTAATGGAATAATTGAATAAACACTCCTTTAATACAGAAAATTAATAAAGAAAATAAAGGAACTTTAATGGATTAAAGTCCACAGAATATATATATAATACATAAGGGATTTTGTGTGTGTTTGTGTATATCTATCTAATGGTCCAATTCTTTAGATGTCCACTATCTCATCCCAAATTTGCTGATATTCGCGGCAGTCTTCCTGATGTTGTTGCTTTGGTTAGTTCAGAAGTGCCCAGACAGTGGCGTACAAAGGACAGAGAAAGAAACCAACTGGAACAAATTAGGCCTACAGTATATAACAGTTACTGGCTGATACATGGATGCAAATCAATTTACAATTCCAGACCTCCCTTAATATCATAGCTATACCAAATATGCAAAGATTTGTGTTAAGTATTGCACCGTCTTACTGCTTTTTTCTAATTTTTTTTTGCCTCGTTTACTAATATGCAAGAATGTTCCTTATTACCAACGTAATAGTTATTCTCTAAATGTGTTGATGCTTTACTCTACCTGTATTTGTAAGAAACATTATTTCTTTAGTAAGACAACAGAACCAGTAATCACTGACCTTTGTGTTTTAACAATTCCATTTTATCTCATGACTCACTTTGGGGCTTTGGGCACATCACTGGAAAATCTGAAGTTAACAACCTTTTTGTTTCTTTTAACTTTTCTTCCACTGTCTTTGAGGACAGAAGCCTTTACCTTCATAGCTGGTTTGGTTCACTAAAAGCAACAACAATATAAAGGTGTTTCATCAAATTTCTACTGCTTCCATACTTCTCAGTATTTCATACTTTTTCTTTCCTACATCGTTAACACATTGCCAGCTCATCATTTGGTGCTCTTGAACCGCTTCTGAAGAAATCTATTTTTCTAATAAATTCAGAGGAAAAGTTTGAGGTATGCAACAAGTAAGAAATGTTATGTTTCTCCATAAATAACTCTTATCCTTCTTTTTTATCTATTGTACTTAGGTGATGCATTTAGAGGATATAGGAAAGAAGATAACCAGAATTCAATGCCTTTCAGCACATTTGATGTTGATAATGATGGATGCAGGCCAATGTGCACTATTAAAGAACAGCCTGTAAAGAGCTGCAGTAACTTCAGTGGTAACACTGGATGGTGGTTCAACCAGTGTGGCCTTGCAAATCTCAATGGTGTTCATCGCTACACAGGTAGATTTCTTGCAACTGAGATTCACTGGGATACATGGACAATGAACAATAAACCAGTCAAAATTAAATCAGTTTCAATGAAAATCCGGAGAACCTATAATCCGTATTTCCATTAACCTATGAAAACAGAAATATATCTCTTCTTGCAATTACGTGGGATAATGTATCACTGTATCATAAATACCTTTCATTTTCACTTGAACAGTTCAGTCTTAAAACTTCATTAGATATTTCCATAATACAGTTGCTCATTTTTATTATGAAATGTCAGCATTTGTAGCAT